CGTCCTTTTACAGAGGTGTGAAGGGAAGGGAGGAGTTGGGCCAGCGTGAAGGGTGAAGGGCTAGAAAGTTTCGAGGTGCTGACCCTGCCCCCCCCCAGTTCCTCTGTGTCACAAGAAGGGCATCATGGGCAGAGAGGAGGGAGCCTTGAGGCAAGGAGTGAAGGTTGGAAATACCAGGTGTGAGGAACAGAGAACAGAGGCCAACCAGGAAGTAGTTAAATATATCTCCTGTGACGTGGGGCCCAGCTGCCCATACATGTTTAATGGTGTCTCCACAAGTGATGAGTGTTTTCTTCCACAGTGCTCCGAAGCCTGGGCGGAGGAAAGGGGACTGCAAGGTGGATTCTGGGCTCAGGGTTGATAGAGCCTGGCTGCTGGATTACAGACGTGATCAACGGTGGATATCCAGGCAGGGCGAGGATGGAAGTAGGAAGGAAACTAACATTCATCGATTGCTCCATTCAATAAATACTGAGCACCTCCTGGGTGCCAGGCACTGTTTTAGATGCTGGGGGTGTAGCAGACAGCAAAAGATGAACCCCAGCCCCTGTGGATCTACAATGGTCAGAAGTCGGACATTACAAAAATAAGTAAAATACACAGTATTTCAGAAGTGGTATCACGGAGAAAAATTAAGCAGGGATGAGGGGTAGGGAAACGTGGTGGGTAGGAGGTGGTCATGGAAGACCTCTCTGAGATGGTGACATTTGATCAAAGACCTAGGTAGAGGGAACAGCATATGCAAAGGCCCTGAGGCAGGGGCAGCCTTGGCAGTGCTCAAGGAATACCCTGTATTTCAGCATGGCTGGAATGCAGTGAGGAGGATCCGGAGACAATGGGAGATTGCCAGAATGGCTGTGGGAGGGTGGGATTGCATGGGATTTGTAGGCCACTGTGTGAACACTAGTCTCTGCTGAGTGAGATGGGACCCATCAAAGGATTGTGAGTGGCAGAGAAGATAATCTGATTTATGTCTATGGAAGGATTACTCTCTTCTGTCAAGGCACTGGCTTTAAGTCTCAACAAACATTTAGTCCTTCTTTAATCCACATAGAGATGCCCTATAAGGTTGGTGTTGTCATCTCTATTTCTTTTCTTCCCTTTACAGATGAGGCAGTTAGGGCTCAGAGAGATGAAGTAACTTTGCTGAGGTCACTCAGCTGGTAATTGGCAGAGCTAGGATTTAAGCCTAGGTTGTTCTGATTCCAAAGGCCACATTGACTAGGAGAAAAGGGAGTGCTTGAAAGACAAAGGGTCCGGTGATGTTGAAGGGATATTGGGAGTAAGAAACAGAATGATGGTCATTCTAGAAATAGACCATAGAGTTTGGCATCCTATGGCATGTGCTGGGGGAGAATGAGTGTCCACAGTGTGATTTGAGGCCTGCCTGTCTTCTAGAATAGTGTTAAAAAAAAAAACAAGGTAGTCAAACCAGCCTGGGGAGAAAGCTGGAGGGTGTGATTTGGGCAAGTGGTGGTTGAGGTGCTGGTAGGAGATGGTGGAAATGTCCAGCTGGTCCACAAAGAGGAGCTCCCAGGAGGGGGACTTAGAGTTCCCCATGTGGGGAAGCTACAGAGATGGATGTGCTCTCTGAGAGAACTGAGGGGTGGATCCAGAAATTTTCTTCCCTGTTGGAGTTAAGGAGTGGAGTGAGGAGTGGAGGAGGGACGAGGGGCTGGGAGAGAGAAGAGTGAAAAACCAGGTGGTGCAGGGCCACAGAAGCCGGGAGGTGGAGAGATTCAAGGCGAGGAGGGCCGAACCACACGGCCTAGGGCAGCAGGCGTGTGCGATCCCCCGGGTGCTGGGGAAGTAGCAGAAAGGTCAGAGCTGTTGGTGCTGAAGGACCGAGACCTCAAGGCCCAGGGCTTAAAAGGGAGCCAAGTCAGGTGTGCATTTGGGGCCCGTTTCTGAGGGAGGAGTACAAGGCTTGCGAGAGGATGGGATGGAGGGTGAAGGTGAAAAGGTTTTTCGTGAAAAGACGGAAACTGACTTCTTTTGGAGATGAAAATGTTTAAGTTTTTACCCTTATGAACTTGGACATAGGAAGGATGCTGAACATCTGTTTTGAGTCATTTCTGCCTCAGGTTGCAAAGGACGAGTCGGTGAGCACAGAACAGGAGCAGTGAATGTCACCTTGCCTGAGCCGGGCTTCTCCCATGTAAAGGCCTGAGCTGGACCCACAAGGGAAACCGAGGCCAGCGGCTACCCCCGGAGAAGTGGGCCGCTCTGTTCCTCCCCGCGTTAATCTTGGAGACCAAACACTGACTTCAGCCATTTTTACCCTCCTCTTCTGATGTGTTAACCTTTACCTTGAATCACACCCATTTTTTACACTTGCAAAGTAACCCTTTTTTTTTTCCTTCTGAAAGTAAAATAGCTTTGTGAGATGCCTTTTATCCTTATCAGACTCCATATAGATAGAGAGGCTTATTTTGTAGCAGTGTTTATTGATAGTCTTAGAGCTAGGCCACTGTTTCTTTTTACGTGGCTGATTTTTTTTTAAAGCAAGAATCTTGCCTGGTACCGGTTCTCATTATTAAATCCCAGACAACTACTTTTTCATGTTAGGCTTTCATTGCACATTTTCAGGTGATGCTTTTTGCTTTTATTTTGCTGGCTTTCCAAGCATTTTCATCTCTAACCTTTCCTATTATGGAAAATTTCAAGCCTTTGTAGAGAGAATGATAAAATGACAGATCAGTATTGTCAATTCTGTTTTTAAACAGTTATAAACAGGCTGCCGTTTTCTGTTTTATCTGCCCCCCCATATGATTTTTTTTTTCCTGTAGCATTTTCAAGCAAACCTCAAATGATTTAAAAAAAAAAACTGTGTAACAGGTCAGTGTCACACACTGGCATGCCTCCGTCATCTGTCCTGATAGTCGTGCTGTGACGTGGCCTGCAGCTCTGCCGGTGTTTTTCAGGGGCCCTGTTTTACCGAGTGGCTGGGAAGGCGCCCCTGCTGGAGTTCGTGTCCTCCCAAGCCTAGGAGGAAGCATGGCTCGTAAACAGTGACGTAGGTGCCCACCCATCCTTCCCTGGCTCCTGCCAGCGGCCTGTGTCTTCACTGGAACCTTTCTGGTGCAGGATACACTCTGGGACCTGAGGCTTCCATGGCGGGTGACCAGTGGATAAGCTCTAGAAAAGCAGAAAAATCTGCCCCTAAGGACGAGACCCTGAGAGCGAGCAAACTGTCCAGCCAAGATAAGCTCAGGAACAAGAATTGGAACCCTGTTGGTGTCCACGTCTTATTTCTGGTGACTTGCTAGAATTTGGTAGTGGCTTCTTTGTCTGTGTTTATCCGCGATGCCTTTAAGTGGCTGAAACACCCAAAAGCGACGCCCTCTGGACTGCTGTGTTTTCTTCGGAATATGGCATTCTTGCTCCTCCCGGAGTGCACGGCTTCAGGGCTGCGTTGGAGGAACCGGGTTATAATTGCACCTTGACTCGTTTCAGGAGAGTGAGTGCCGTGTGCCCTCATTTCCTGTCTCTTGCATCAGTCTGTTTGTGAGAGTGTACCGGGAGGTGATTAATGGGAACGATAAACATGTGCTCACTGACTGAAAGTTCCTCCTGTTTCCTGAAATGCTCTTGGTTTTAATGAATTGTTTGTTTGCTGCCCACAGACCACATGTGGTGTGTGTGCTTCGGTTGTTGTGAACACTGTACGCCTTCATGTCGGAGTGGGGCTTGTAAAGCAAAGTCAACATGTGATAAGGCTTGAAAGGGTTTTCTTCATCCGAGAATCCCAGCTGGCTAGGGAAATTAGACAGCTGTCTCTCACCAGAAGCAGTGCCCGTGGAGCCTGGACCTCGGTATCCAACATCATATCACAGTATTTGCTGTCCTCGCCCCCAGCTTTGAAGTGATGGGTAGCCCACGGGGTCTTGATTGCTGGCAGTGCCTCTCTGCTGTGTGGCCTCATGCCTGTGGATTTTAGCTGTTACTGCACTGCTGTGTCCGCGTCCTCTCACCCCCGCCACCATCCACCCCATGGAGTCAGGAGCACCCTCTTGATTTGCACCTGGGAGAAGTTCTGCCATTTTGGACTACTGCAAATATTAAAACTGATTTGGAGAAAAAAAACTTTTTTCCCCTATTTCAAAAGTAATGCCTACTTTTGTAGAAATTTGGGGAAATATAGGAAAGGTGGGGGAGTCATATTTCCAACAAAGATAATTTACAATTAACATTTTTTTGCCTTTCCATATAGTTTTTTTAAATGCACATTGAAAGTTTTCTCCTCAGCTGCAATAATACTCTACGTACAATGTTATCTTTTCTCTTGAACATAATAATATAAAGATTTCTACATGTTTTTAAACTTTATAAGCCCTTTTAGAAGCCTTAATTTGCTGCCAAGTGGACATTCCATAATTTAACCATATCATTGAATATTTAGGTCATTTGTGGTGCTACTGTGAAGATCTTTGTACAGAAAGCATTTTCTATAGTTTGTGTTGTTTTTAAACTAGATTTTATAGGAATCAAATTAATGAATCAAGAAGAATGAATCCTTGAAGGCTCTGAGATTGTCGCATTGCTGCCCCAAAGGGGTTTACCATCCAAATTCTCATCAACAGCAAAATTGCTTCTTAAGGCAGTTTTGCTTTTCCTAATGGGACTATCTAGTGCCACAACCAGGTATCTGACAAAGTGATGATTTAGTTTTTAGAAGTCCTTGGTATGTCAGGTAGCGACCCTGTGACCCATTGTCTACTTGGGTTGTCACTGGTGCGTCCCTCTCTGTCCATCGCCCAAGTTCCATGCACGTTTCTTGACAGCAGTTCCATTCTGCCCTCAGCCCTCTCTCCAGTCTCAGTGAGGGCCATGGGAGCTCACATTTGTGCTTCTGTGTGTGGCTTTTCTAAAGTGCCTTCACACACGTTATCTCCCAGTGATGAATTTAAGTTATCCGTACACTTTGTGAGTTGGTCCTGGGGACTCTCGGAATCTTGATATAATCTGCCTGACGATGCCTTTGTTGTTGTTTTGCACAGATCCAGTCCTGCAGGTTCCAACACATGTTGAAGAGTAAGTTTTCTGATTTGCTTCAGTACCTCCCTTTAATTCATTTGCTATATTATTCAATCAGTATTTCTGAAGCTCGTTGCGGGGAGCATGAATTTCAGGTAGAATGAGAGAGATGGAGAGACACAGGAGACACAGGATGCCTTGCAGGTGCTGTGATAGATGCCTCTGTTGGGGAGGGGAGGTCGGTTCCCTGTGGGGGAGGCGGGGAGGCAATGGTATTAAAAAGCCTTGCTTGAGATGTAACTTAAGTTGTGTTGTGACCTAGCCTTCCAAAGTCCTCAGGAGGACCCCGGGGTCTTTGGCCCTCTCCCTCTTCATAGTGCTTAGCCATGGAGAGGATGCACGAACATGACACTCTATTAGAGTGTGTGTGTCGGAGTAGAGGTTGGATAGCACCTCTAAGAGCCTCAAAGGATGCTATGTCCTGGGTGGAGAAAAGATTCGGCAAGGGGTTGCTGAGTGACTAGCCGTAAGTCAGTCTTTAGCAGGTTAACTTTACCAAAGAGCACCTCAGACCTGCTTCACGGGAGGCCACTGATGAGACCTTGACCCATCTCCTTGGCAGGTTCTTTCTCATGTCCAGCTTTCAGAGTCTACTTTCATTGCTTCTTCAAAATAAATGTTTGTTGAACACCAAAGGTAGATTTGTTCTCCCTGTTTATGTACCGTGCCATGCTATTAAATATTAATTGTTGAAGTTCTCTATACATTTGACTTGGAAACTGACAAGCAGACGTGCTGTGTCTTTCTTATTCATTTTACGTTCATCCAGAGTGCTTTGACCAAGGGATGATTTTCTCTTCTGTGATTTTGCACAGGTTTCCCCTTGCAGGTTGCTTTTCTCCATCCGAGTAGAATGTATGCTGCCCTAAGGATAGTTTCTTATCTGTGGCTAAAATGAAAGCAGTGGGTGGAATTGTCTTACCCCCCCCCCACTTCCCCGCTCCCTGCCAATCACGGCTTTGCATGGCTTTGGTATTTTGTTCTGTGCCCTAGGCTACGATCTATCACTGATACTTACTGCTTAATCTCTAGGCCTGCCTTCCTCCCAGATCCCAATGATGGCAGCCTGTATACGCTCGGGGGCAAGAATAATGAAGGCCTGACGGTGAGTGTATTTAGCTTCTTTGTCCTCCTGAGGTTCTAGATCACTGACCTTCAACTGTAGCTGCGTGTTGAGATCGCTTGAGAGCTTAAAAAAACGAAACAACAACAAAAAAATCCCAGGGATTCTGAATCAGGTGGTCTTGAGTGAGGCCTGAGCGTCAATATCTTTTCATAGCTTCCTCGGTGAGCTTTTAAATGTACAGCCCAGAGTTCAGAGACCTTGCTCTAGACCAGCAGGTTCTCATGGCTTAGCCAGCACACTGGAAGGCTATGATACTCCTTTCAGTAACAGGCCTTACTTTAGTGATCCTTAATTTGGGAGGTTGTATAGTTGGAAACACCGTCCACACCCCCAGCAGACATCCCCTTGTTGAGGGGCTGGGGGTGGGCACGTGATATTCCATTCCCACCTCCGCTTGAGAGTCTAGACCAGTGCTTCTCAGCCTTGGCTGCACATTGTAATAACCTGGAGAACTCCAAAAAATACCATCTAGGTCCCAATCCCAAAGTCTCCATTTAACAGATCAAGGATTTTTAAAAAGCTCCCCAGACAAGAGAATTTAGAAATGGTCCTATATAGATGGTCACCTGATTTGTGACAAAGGTGACAGACTCTGCAGTGCAGTGGGGAAGGACGGTCTTTTCAGTAAATGGTATGAGTTAACTGGGATCTCCATATGGAAAAAAATCTTGGCTCCTACCTCACACCAGCCACACAAAACTCAGTTCCAGATAGACTGCAAATCTAGGTGTGAAATGTGCAGCCAAGCTTTAAGAAAAAGGAAGAGTACAACATTTTCATGACCTTAGAGCAGGTAAAGATTTTTAAAATTAGAGACAATAAAACAACAGACCCTACACTAACCATAAAAGAAAAATTGATATATTGGGTTTTATTAAAATTAAGAATTTTTCTTCATTAAGAGACACCATTAAGAGAGGCAGGCCACAATGTATTTGCGATACACATATTCAATAGAGAATTCATATTCAGAATATGTAAAGAATTCCTATGGTTTATTTTTAAAAGACAAACCAATAGAAAAATAGAAAAACCAGCAAAAGAGGATATCCAAATGGTCAACAAACATATGAAAAGATGGTCCATAGGGAAAGGCAGATTTTTAAATGCACATAAATAAAACATCACAGTGTCATACTACAACCCACTCACTAGAATGGCTAAAACGAGAAAAGTGGAAAAAGAAAACAGGCGTTGGGGTGCAGTAGAGTAACCAGGACTCCTGTCCACTGCTGGTGGAAGTACAAATGGGTGTAACCAGTTTGGAAAACTGTTTGGTAGTATCCGTCAAAGCCTCATGACCCAGTAATCCCCTCCCAGGTTATATACCCAACAGAAATGTGTGTATATATTCACCAAAGACATGCACCCAAATGTACTTTGCCTGTTTATGATAACCACCAAGTGAACACTACCCAAATGACATGGGTAATAAATGGGATAAGTAAGTTACGGAATAGTCCTAGAATTTAATAGTCTACACCAGTGAGAACAGACAATCTGTGACTCTGCACAACATACATGAACCTCACCAGCAGAAGGCTTGGATAAAAGACCAGCGAGAAAGGCTGCACACGGAGTGATTCACTTTTATGGAGCGTGAGGACAGGAAAAACTAGTCTATGCTGTTTGGCGGTTAGGATGATGGTTTATTACCTGAGGTGGGTAGGGGGCAGCGGTTGTGACTGGAAGAGAAGGCAAGAAGGGGGCTTTCAGAGTGCTGAAAATGTCCCGTTTCTTCATCTGGCGCTGGTTGCAGGGGTGCATTTTCTCTTTGCAAAATTTAACGAGCCATACACTTACGTGAGCTCTGTTTGTAGGCTCTGCTTCAGTAAAAGGTTGTAAAAAGCTCTGCGTGATTCCCATGTGCAGCCAAGTTTGTGAACCACTGGTCTAGATCATAAGTGTCCTGTGAGTTCTAGTTTGGGTATTTCAGAATTATTTTATGAAGACTTTGTATAAAGTGTCTCATTCTAACATCTCAGCAGCCCTCTGGGATATAGGAGTTATCTCCACATTAGAGGTATGGGAAACTGCCCATCTAGATGGAGGAATGTGCCCAAGGCCACGGCGTCAGGGGTTGTGGTGGGGGAGGCTCCCAAGAGCTCCACCTTCCGAAGGACCCTCTTATCACCACCCGAAAGCCTCCCTATGCTGTGACTTAGCCGCTCCGGGAACAGTGAGTTTCCAGCTTGGGCCTTGAATCAGTAGGCCCAAGGCAGCTGTGCTCAGCGGACCCCACAGCACTCCAGGCTGGAAGCCTTATGACAACTTTCTGATCCTATGAAACATCTGTTGGAAAGCTAGTCATTGCAGCCTCTCCGTGGCGTTGTTTTCCTTTTCGAAGGCTTAGTTTCAATGTTGGGTTGATGAGAAAATCCACACGTTATTGGTTATTTAAAGTTCTATTTATTAAAGCTAGAGAAAAATCTTTACTTTCATGGACAAAAAGGTGACAGTGTCATAGAAGCAGGCATCTACAGGACAGTTTCAAGAACACAGAATGTTCCAAAAATAAAGTATTCTGAAACAAACATCGGCCAGAAGAACTTGTCAGATGTCAGCTGTAGACTCAGAAGAATCGGTTTTGTGATGAAATGCAGTTGAAACATGTGAATTGCCCTGAGTTTCTTTTCCTGGCACCTACCATAACTTCCTTTTCATACCCAAAGGCCCAGTTTTATTTTGTTTTTCAGTAGAGAATTATTTGCTGAAGAATTATCAGAACTTCTTTTCCCACCTTGAACTCCTGTGTTGCCCACAAAGTGACTCCTTTCCCTCGGGGCTTCAGCTGGTCACCCAGGCTGCTTCTCTTCACAGCAGTCTCAGGGCTCCCTTCCACCCCAAAGAGCGTTTTCTATTCTGTCCGTCCGGCTCTGGAACGATTTTCCAAGACAGGAGAATTCTTTCTGTCCCTGCTGCCCCCAAATTTCAAAGATTCTGTAACTCTCCATATTTGTGTGTCTTTTCAGCAAAGTTTGTGTCATCCCCAGAAGTGCTCTGGACCAGCAATTTTGAGGCGCTTGTGGAAGAAAGGAAGTTAGCATTTACAGTGCCCAGGTCCTGGGAGCCGAGGGCTTGTCGCAAGTGGCTGGGGGAGCCTGGGGTACCCCTTCTCCTTGGTTTCTAGTTAGGAACACTCCCCTCTACCATCAAGAATGTTTCTCTCTTTTTAGCAGAATTGGGTAACAGAAACAATGTGTGCAGTAAAATTGTAATAATTGCACAAGACTTGGTTAACTTCTTTTTCCCTTTGCCTTTTCTTTTCTTTCTTTCTTTTTTTTAAAAGAAACTTCCCTTTACGATCCCGGAGTTGGTGCAGGCATCCCCATGCCGAAGTTCAGATGGAATCCTCTACATGGGTAAGAGTTCCTGTTTTCCCCACTGCAAAACTTTGATCCCATTGAAAATGAACCCCAGAGTCTGGGAAAGTGGCGTGTTGGAGGGAGGTGTGCACTCACCCCCCCACCAGCCCTTCTGGGAAAGGTCTTTCTTGCCTCCCTTGTGCTGGTTCACGCCAGGATCAGCTGACCAATTAAGAAAGGGTTCCCCCCGCTTGGGAGCAGACGTGAGACCAGTAATATGGTTACTCATTTAACAAGCTTTCAGCTGCTGTGTTGACCTACCCCTGCGATTCAAAGATTGCAACATACCCAGAGCAACTGGATGAAATTTAAAGTGAATACAATAGTCTGAGCCAAGAAAGGGAAGCCAGGCCCTGCCTATTAATTATAGGGCTTTCTTAGTATTTCCTGCTATCAGAATATTGGGTAAAAACAGCACTTAACAGCTTGCTTAGATAAGCTGCCTTCATACCTACAGAGGTCACATCTTTCTAAGCATCAGATCACCTGCTTTTCTTTTACCACGTTGCTGCCAAAATGTCAATAAAAATGTATTTGTAGCACAAAGGAGAGCTGTATTTATCTTGAAAGTGTAGTAGTAATAATGTTCTGTATTCATAAAGCAGCTTTCTTTCTGAAGAACTGAAAGCGCTTGTTGCCTGTTCATCCCTCGGGAGCTGTGTCTGTTTCTGGGCCTCAAGCACAGACCGGATTTTAAGTTTTTGGCAAAGGAGACTGGTGCTCCTGCTTCCTTCCACACCTTCAGAATGAGGAAGCCCCCAGCCCGGGGAGTCAGAGGAAGTGATCAGCACAGGCTTTCTCTCTTCTTTGGGCCATGCCCCGGGCCCATCGGAGCGTCTCACCATCCTTGTCAAGTTTCTGTCTGGGCGTCCAGCTTTGGCCCGCAGTCCATCACTTAGGGTGCGTTAAAAGTTGTTGCTGTTGCCCAGTCCATCCATTGAAGTGGTACCTGAGTTAGCAGACTCTGACGGTCCTTTAGATAACAGAAGGGTGCCACGGCAGATGGAAAGGGGTTCTGGTCACAGCTGTTTGGTGACGTTTTCTCTCTATCTTCGTATCTCTTTCATGTTAAGATTTTGTCGTTGAGAACGGAGAGTTATGATCCACAGACAAGTTTCAGGCGAGTGGACTGGGCATGTATGCTACATCTGTTAGGACTAAGTGTAGCTTTAGCGAATTCTAAAGCCCCATGATCTTGCTGACATCTCAGTATGCTGCTTTCAAGAGTCCCTTGAAATAGGAAACTTTTGGCCAATAACATAGGAAAAGACAACTGACCAGAAGTCTTGCCTTACAAAGCAGAAGTGTGCCCATCAGGGTGAATGTATTGGCCTTCAGGCGCTAACTGTATTTATGTTGAAATCTTAGTGGTAATTATATCCTGTGTTTATAAAGCAGCTTTCTTAGGAACTTGCCATCAGCCGGATGCTCTGTATACATAAGCCTTGGAATTTATGCTTTCAGTTTTCCTAATCGTGTTATTTGGCCACACTCTCTACCTGTTTATACCTTTTAATCAGCCGACCGAGGTGACAGGGTAGTGTGTGGCTGGGGAGTCACGTACTGGCGGGGGTCACAGGCTGAGCTAACTTTGGCCTCACTTGCGCCAGGCTGCCACCAGCTCTGCCGCCTCGTCACAGGTACCAGCTCATTAGAGCTGTAAATGGTAACTGTAGATCTTCTTTACATGAGGGCTCATTAGTAGGGCTGTTGAGATATATGGATGATGGTTACCAGAGAGATGAACCCCTGGGTACCTTTCTGGATTTATATAGATCCTAGTCTGTGGAAAAAGGATTGTCGTTATAACCCAGATTCTTCTAATTTAAGGCCACTCATCAAAGCAATAAAACCTGTGAGGTATTATGTTATTAGGCTTGGAGAAATTTTTATACCATGACTAGGTTATTAACTGGTTATAAGACTCACTGGCCCGAGAAGTTTTATTATTCCACATTACCATTAACCTCATCACCCTCAGAGCATCATAGAAATGTCTTTGACATCGTAAGAATTTCAGGCCTGTCTCTCAGCTCAAGAGAACACCTGGGGCTACTAGTTAGGTAGTGATTTTTTTTTTTTCAATGTTGGGCGAATGTAAACCAGTGTGTCCTTGTGACCTTTCAGGTAAAAAGCAGGACATTTGGTATGTTATTGACCTCCTGACTGGGGAGAAGCAGCAGACTTTGTCATCGGCCTTTGCAGATAGTCTGTGCCCGTCAACCTCTCTTCTGTACCTTGGGCGAACAGGTAAGGAGGAACCTTTTGTCATGTACAACCTACCTGTTTGCAAAAAAGGACCTGAAGTAGCCTCCCCTTGGGTCTCTGCCTCTGGGCTTCATTCTCCAGAAGGTGGCCAGACCTGTCTTCTCCACATGCAGATTTTACCCCGTTGTGCCACTTTATAAGCCCCCTACAGAGGCTCCCCATTGCCCCAGGATTATGGTCCAAACTGCACCGCAGCCCACAAAGCCAGTGATGTAGCTGCTCCTCCTCCATCTCCTCCCTCACTGCACTTCCCTCACGTTGACATTTTCCAGGCAGGGCGAACTACCTGCAGTTTCCAGAATAAGCGGTGCTGTTTTAAAAAACTTGGAGTCGTAGGTCCATCTCTACCAGGCACCCACATTTTTGCCTGTTTGGCCGGTGTCCACTCTTCTTCCCAACGCTGCTCAAAAGGCACCCTCTCTGTGAAGCCTCCCTAACCTCACAGCCGCATCCCCCCTACCCCCTAGCCCAGGGACGGCAGCCCTCCCATCCTCCACGCACTGCCCATCACTGGCCCTTTATGGGCATCGCAACCTCTTCGCTGCACCGTTTCCCATCTCGTCTCTTTTCAGCCTCCTCCTCCTTCTCAACACTTGACAGTGCATGTTTCTAAGTGATATTTGCCTATTTTCTGCCTCCCCCACTAGACTGTCAGCTTCCTAAGAGCAGGACCTGGTCTTGTGCACCTGCCGAGTCTCCAGCGGGCTCAGTGCTGGCCCACTGGGTGCTCAGAGGCTGCAACGAGTGAGTGGGTGGCCCAGGGATCCACCTCACTCCCTTCATGAGTGCAGCACCTGGCCTGTACCAGTACCCCGTAAAGACTGTGGAACCAACCGTGAAAATAGAGCTGAAGGGGGAAGCAAGAAAATGTTTAGTATGAAAAAACTACCAAAATCCTAGGATAAGATCGTTATAACTGAGCACTAAATCTAGGTCTAAACGTTCAGGTAGCCAAGTCTTTTAAAAGAAGAGAGACAGAACCTTCCTTCAGGTGCTGTGGGAAACAGTGCTTTTGTAAACATGAGGGAGACTAGTTTTGGGCCCTGGAAACTGCCTGGGCTCTCCTGCAACCAGTGAGGGTTGGCGGGTGTTTCTCTTAAAACTGTGGGACCCTCCACTTACTCCCACCCCCTGGTAAGAATCAAGTATTCCAACTGTAGTGGCCACTTAGGGTTGGTCGGTTTGTTTACTGTTTCCATCAAGTAAAGCCTTGTAGTGGCTCCACCTTCACCCAGGAATAAACAGTCTTTGCTTCTCGGGTAGAACTGCGGTGTCCGAGGGAGCTGGGCTGCGCTGGCGCTGGGTGGAGCGTGTGTGCGCGGGTGTGGAAAGCTGTCTGTTGTTTTCACTGTCTGTCGCTGTGTTACAAACCACCCTAACTTAGTGGCTTTAACACCGACATTTTACTGCTCACGGTTCCATGGGTCAGGAATTTGGGAAGGGCTCTGCAGGGATGGTTGGCCTCCCCTCCACAGACTGCTGGCTGGGCTCTCTCAGATGTCTGGGGCCTTGGTTCAGCTCCACACAGATAGCCTGGCGACTGAGTTCGCCTCTTGAGTAAAAGTGGACGTTACGATGCCTCAAAGGCCTGGGCTCGGAAGTCCTGGAATTTCACTTTCACTGCGGTCTGTTGGTCAAAGCAAGTCAAGAGGCCAGCCCAGAATCAAGGGAACAGGTGGGGAAAGAGACCCAGCCTCTTAATGGGAAGACTGACAGGTGCATTACAGGGATGAGAGGATTGGGGGCGGTGATCTTTGCAGACACTGCCACTGGTTCTGGTTGTGATAGTTCACAACCCTCCCACATGTAGCATATACTCACTCCTCCCCAGGACTCTCAGAGGCCAGGCACAGCAGGGGCTCAAATTCCCTACCTTGTGATCCACATCAGGTTTGGAAGTGGGTGAGGCTCCTCTTGATCTGGAGACCTGTGAATTAAAGAGACACATTATCTCTCCCCCAACCCCACCTCTTCCCTCCCCTCCATCATACAATGCTGAGACAGTAGGAGCCCTGCAGAAAACTGTCCCATTCAAAAAGGGAAGGAAAGAGTGCCACGTAGCAGTCCCTGGTCCTTAGTGGTTCTGGAATCCAGCCAGGCACTTGTTTTCGGGTTCCCCTACTCTGAAGTGGGGGAAGATTCCTTCACTAGGGCCCAGTCTTGCCGTCTGGAATTGGTTCCCCAGTATATTCTTAGCAGCGTGGTCCTTCCCTCTGAGAAGGCCTCTCTCTTCCATAAGAAAGAGTTAGGATTATGTCGCTTTCTCAATCTGTTCCTTGTCCATTGAAAGCTGGGACTATAGAGGCTTCCCCACCCTGCAACTTTTGACTGCCTCTGGTTTTTTCAGTCCATGCTGATGTTACTCCTTGAAAAAATCTTTATGGGCTTCCTGTGTGTCACATTACAGTCTACTCCGTTAGATAAAGCCATAGCCACAAACCCCTCTCCTCTGAGGTTTGGGGCAGCACTCTTACCTAGCAGAGGGTCTGTGAAGGACCACCTAAATCCTTCTGAGGTCTTACAGCCTCACCTTTGGTTTGATCTTGACCCCGACACCATTTTTCACTGGTAGTACCTGAACTTGATCTTTGCCCTAAGACCATTTTTTACGCTGAGAATCTTTTCCAACTGGAGCATCAGTCCCGGACCCTCTACATTTCCTCTGTACTCAGCCTGAACACCAAATGGTTTCTTTTTTAGTTTACCTGCCTTGCACCATAATGTATTCAGTTAAGAGAAACCATTTGGCGCCTTCTACATTCTGCCTGGACATCTCCTTCGCCAAATCCACAAGTTCATTCGGTGCTTTCTTTCTGTTTTCCAAGTTACTGCAAGTTACTAATCGTGTCATCACAGCCTAACCTGGGTCACCGTTTTCAGCTTCCAGGATCAGGATCCTTACTGCTCTTCTGGCCTCCATCTGCCGCCCAGTCCCAAAGTCAGTGCCATCTGTTTTAGGCTTTTGTTACGGCACCATCCCATGTCTTGGTGCCAATTTCTGATGTCAGCTCTTTATCGCTATATAATAAACCCCCAAAAACGTTAAGTGGCTTAAAACAACACCGTGACATTGCTCATGATTCTGTGAGTCTTGACTTCAAGGGCACAGCTCAGGTGGCTTGTCTCTGCTGCTGACTGGGTTCACTCATGTGTCAGGGACTCTGTTTTCCTCCACATGGCTTTTCTCTCTCCACATGGATGGCCTGGACTTTTTTACATGCGATTTAGGGAGGATTTGTCTGTTGTGACTTAGATGAGGTCAGCAGCTCCGCAGGCGCCGCGGCCCCTCCGGGTAACAGGCTGGTGTGTGTTCCCCAGAGTACACCATCACCATGTACGACACCAAGACCCGCGAGCTGCGGTGGAACGCCACCTACTTCGACTACGCGGCCGCGCTGCCCGAGGACGACGGGGACTACAGTAAGTTCCCCCAGGTGGCCTGGGTGCATGTGACCTACGGGGAAACCAGGGCTGCAGAAACCTGGGTTTCCTCTTAAGCTGCTCTTGGCCACCAGGTTCAGGACTTGCCGGACTTGCCATGGATTTGTAGTAAGTACTTCAGCAGTCAGTGTTGAAGGCAGGGGCCTGGGAGACAGGTGTGGAGGGGACCCGGGTGAAACGGTAGCGAGTTTAGCCTGAGAGGAGGGAGGACACACTTTATTGAGTCCCTCTGTGTCACAGAAGGAATGGACTTCGAGCCCATGACAAACAGAATTGAACATCAGCTTGTGACATTAACCTCCTGCTCCCTAAGTGTGCTCATCCCCCACTTGTTTCTCTCGTGAACATTCCCCCAACTCAAATGAAAGCTGAGAGCCAGTTTTGCCGTCTTAACACTGGCACCTGAGCGTCTGACAGAAATCTCTGTGGTCACATGTGGGCAGCGTCAGTGCTCAGCTCTGACTTTCAGCTTGACTGGTGGGTTCGAGGTGGTTGCTGTACAATGCCAGGTTCACAGGATTGCCATCGGTTCCTTTCTCCTCAATATTTATTCTCACTAACTGAAGAGAATGCTGTCACCAAGTGAAAAGGGAACATTACCAAGCAAACTGCCTTCGAGAGGGCGGTCCTCTCTTATGTTTATAAACTGGGCAGTGCTCAGTGTCTTGATACCAGAGAGCGTGAGCGAGTTCGTTGGAAACAAGTGAACTTGTTCGGAGGGGATCTGAGAGTGCTCCAGAAGGCTGGTTTCCTTTAGCTGAGTGACTGCAACTTGTCAGGAGAGCAGAGGATGTGGTTGCAAGGTGGGGTGAGACTCGACATGCTGTGTTTATCTGATCTGTACAGAAATGTCCCACTTTGTGTCCAATGGCGATGGGCTGGTGGTAACTGTGGATAGTGAATCTGGAGACGTCCTGTGGATCCAGAACTATGCTTCCCCCGTGGTGGCCTTCTACATCTGGCAGCGGGAGGGCCTGCGGAAGGTGATGCACATCAATGTTGCTGTGGAGACCCTGCGCTACCTGACCTTCATGTCCGGGGAGGTGGGGCGCATCACCAAGTGGAAGTATCCATTCCCCAAGGAGACGGAGGCCAAGAGCAAGCTGACGTGAGTCGGGGGACTCAGGGCAGGAGAGGGCAGCTGTGACCATGGTGTTCTGGTCCTGCAGCGGCAGCATGGCAAACGCCGGGGGTCAGGGCTCAGGGTGGGAATCCCTGAAGCCATGAAAGATAGAAAGAGCCAAGCCCTGCTGGTTCAGAAACCTCAGAATCTAAGAACTGGGCACCCCTTGATGCTTCAGATCTTTGAATATTAAATAAGTTAAAATTATGGGTGGGGATAAGAAAGAGACTGCCAGTGTAACTGTATTACAATCTGGACATCTCTCAGGTGGTGGGAATATAAGAGATGTATTTATTCTTTAACTTTCTATATTTTCTAAATTTTTATTGTAAGTTATATTTTCTTTAAAAAATCAGAGGAGAAAAGGGTTAGGGTGCAAGTGTCTGTGACTCAGCAGGCCGGCGCTATCCACCCGCACCTGTTGATAGCCCGTAACTTGGCCGCTTAGCCTTGCCGAGCCTGTTTCCCGTTTGCCGAGCTATGGGGAAGGTCACATGAGATAAGGTGCACGACAGCGTTCTCTGAGCGGTACAGCCCCAGTCAGCTGTAAGGTGTTTGTTAAGAGAGGTTTAGAGAATTTAGTAGGTGACCCACCCCAGACTGGCTATTGACAGTAGCCAGCTGGTGTGTCGTCCTGCGTTCTCACGCTGACAGCCACAGATAAAGCCAGACACCCTGTCCCATGCCCCAGAGAGGGGCAGACCACCCACCAGAAGTCTCACCCAGTTTGGAATCTCCTGTGCATCTGCTTTGCTTCAGGGTCCAAATCACAGCAGTTGACTGTCTCTCAGTGCTTCTGTAGAAGTTGTAGAATCTTTAGGAATCACAAGACATTTTGGTGCGGGTGCTGGTGGCAGCTCAGTTGCCAGGGCCGTCTTGGAGGCCGTGCGGTGGTTGCGAGCTTTCAGTCTCTCCTGGATGATGGCTGCACGTGGCCCTTTCTGCGGGCTTTCCAGGCATAGTCTAGTGCAGCCCTGCCATTTGCAGATGAGGAAACCAAGGCTGGCAGCCAGGTGGCTTGTGTGTGCTTTGCAGACAGGCAGTGACAGTGGGGCCTGCAGTCCACTTCTCCTGGTTCCCAGGGCAGGGACCTTCACACCCCCATGACTCTGAGCTCAGGGGCTAATGTGACTTTTCCTGGGGATGGTATTTGGGGCTGTGATACTTCTTTCTAAAAATCCCCCTTTTGTGAGATCCAGAAATTAAATGACAGTGGAATGCATGTATCTGTCTGTCTCCTAGGCCCACCCTGTACGTTGGGAAGTACTCCACCAGCCTCTATGCTTCCCCCTCAATGGTACATGAGGGGGTCGCTGTTGTGGTAAGTCCACTATAGGGGCCCTCAGATGCCTCACCACTCGTGCTCCATTTTAGCAAAGAATGACTGAATTATATATGAACATCCTGTTAGTTATGGATGCACGACACAAAGCTTTTTTTGGGGGGGTAGCAATTAGGTTTACGTATTTATTTTTGGAGGAGGTGCTAGGGCTTGAACCCAGGACCTCATACATGCTAAGCACGCACTCTACCGCTTGAGCTATATACCCTCTCCTCACGACACACATCTTAAATCCACAAAAACAATTTCTTCACGTACCACGTTCTGCTTTGCAAGGAGAGGCTTGTGATTTGAAGCAGCCTCCTAGGAAGCCCTGCTTACTTGCGGGTTCAAGTCTAGACTCCCCAGGCTGGGGTTCCCGCTGCCCGTCCGCCACACGCTGGTGTCTTTGTGGGGCTGCACACTCATCTTCTCCTGAGTCCCAGGAGCTCCCTGTTTATCTTTCTTAGCCTTTGTTCAGGCCGCGCCTCACACTTACAGTGCCTCCTGTCTTCCTTCTTCTTTTCAAATCCTTTTCATCCTTTCATGGCCGGTCCAGACTCCTTGGACCTCGCCAGGTCGGCGTCTCTAAGTGTCTGAGGCATCATGAACCCGGCCACTGTTTTCGTCCTTATGGTGTTTGAGCTATTTGGTTGGCATCTCCTGTCTTCCCAGTGAGTTGGTCAGCAGCTCCCACCCCAAGGCCGCGCCCGCCTGGGTCCAGTGGTGCCCGAGCCAGCGCCAGGCTCGTGGCCGGCGCCTTCCCACCCTGGCCAGTTGTATCATTTGTGAACTCCTTCGCTTATATCTGCTTCTCACAGTAGCCTCTCACACACACCCTTCCTGTTTCATCCCCAGACGTGAGAATGTAAAAAGATGTCCACATTTAAAAAGACATCTGAATTTTGAAAGACATCGGTGCAGCCTTGTCGTGTCCCGAGGGAGGGGAAGCCGCTGCGGGGCCACTGCTATCCTCACGGGGGTCCACCCGGGCCGCCCCGGCCTCACTGCAGTCTGTCTCCACAGCCCCGAGGCAGCACCCTTCCTCTGCTGGAAGGCCCCCAGACCGACGGTGTCACCATCGGGGACAAGGGGGAGTGTGTGATCACGCCCAGCACGGACCTGAAGTTCGACCCCGGGCTCAAAGGGAAGAGCAAGCTCAACTACCTGAGGAACTACTGGCTGCTGATAGGTGAGAGTTGGGTTCCTCGTGGCCCCTGGTGATGATGTGCTGCCTCCTGGTGGCCAAGAGCTGACATTGCCTGTTATGGTCCTCAGCTTAGCCTTGTGTGCTCAGTTCACGTCTAGGCTAGTCCTTGAGACCCTGAAATATTTCACCTCCAAGGAAAATAAACAGGGTAGCTGGGTGACCACGTCAGTCTTCAAAAATTGTGTAACTGCTGTTCTAAAACATTAGTTTGAATTCACATGGGAAGAGTTCATGTGGGAGTTGGTGTGGGCGTGGGTGCGAAGGATTGGGGAGGGAAAGATTTGAAGGCACAAGAGGGATTGAAGTGGTGAAGAGACTGAACTTGGGTCCAAGAGCCACAGCAGGAGCCCGGGGCCACAGGAGTAGGGGGCAGAACCTTCTTCCTTCTCTTCTTTTCTGCCACCAACACTACGGGCCCTGGGATTGAATTGGAGGCTCCTGTCAGCCAGAGATACAACACTGAGATGACACCAGGCTGGGAGTGTGATAAATGAAGGCCGAGGTGACAGGAGCTGTGTCTCTGGCAAGTGTCCCAAGTAATTAGAGCAGGACAGAGTTTTCTTGAATTGGATTTGCCCTTCTGGGGGGCCCCCCAATCTGCTGCTCCATGCCCCAGAGGCTGGGGGGAGGATGCAGCCCCATGGGAGTGCCTGAGCACACAGGGGCTTACGGGCTTTCTCCTCCACTTTCTGTCTTGGTGCCAGGGCGGAGAGGTCAGGCCTGGGGGAGCTGGGGCAGGGATGTGGAGTGGCCTGGGAGACTGGGGGCCCAGGAGGCAGCAAGGCCATGGTGTCTGGATGGGGGTGTATCTGAGCGTCACAGGGAGGAGATGGGATGTGCTGGAGCCCTGGTCCTTCCCTCTGTAGTCATCCAGGTCTTGTTGCTCTTTGTTCATCCTCACTACTTGTAGCCATTTTTCTTTTGGTTATGATTTTTACCAAATAATGGGCAAAGGAGATAAGACAATTCTACCCTTTTTTGAACAGTAGTTTGGAAAGCATGTGTGAAGGGGCCCACAGTGAAGGAAAAAAAGAGCTGATGAGCAGAGGCCATTAAAATCATAAGGCCACTTAGTTTTCTGTACCCGTGAAGGGAGACACTGACTGCCCACCAGTGGTTAAGAAGTGAAAAAATTATTCAAAACTAAGGAAATGTGTATGTGAGGCCATAAAAGATATGGGAAAAAGTCTCCGTGGCTCAGTTGCAAAATGATATTCTTTTAAAATGGAAGGGTCATCCAAGTAAGAAAACTGAGAAACCCCACAAAGTATGAAGAAGTAATCAGGGAAGCACCAGCAGTTCCGAAGGCCCTTTGGAGAAACTCCACAGCTCGTCATTTCTAAGTAAGGCAGTGGGACCACGGGACAATCTTTGTGAAGACTGAGAGCCACGGGAGAAGGGTGTGCCCATTTATGGCCACATACGTCCTTTGATTTGGTTTTTTGTGGAAGACATTAAGGACATCCCCATTAATCTTGAAAGTAGCTTGAGTGGTGAGGTCCGTGGGTTTCCCCAGCGCAGTGGCCCTCACCTGGGGTGCTCTCAGCGTTCCCTGGGAGCCTCATCAGGCAGACACACATAGCCCCAGAGATCCTGATTCAGTAGGTTCCGGGCAGGGCCTGTGCTTCTGGCTCTGGAGCCTGGACGTAATGGATGCTGAGAGGTAAATCACGAAGGCCAGGTACGGTTTGTACAGAAATGTTTCAGGAGCTCACGATTATGTTTGTAGCACAATTGGTTCAAAGCACACAGCGTGATACTGCTAACAGCCCAGCTACGGGAGAGGCCTGGTGCAAAGATTCCAGGAGGGAGAGGGGATTCAGGCCATCACTTCCATTGCAGTGTGTTGGTCGGTGCCCTGCTGAGGGGCAGGACATGGAGCACTGAGAGCGGGCAGGCAGGCAGGGCCCTGCAGCACAAAGAGGCCTGTGGAAGGGCAACCTCACTTCTCTTAGAGCGAAGGTCTCCTGTTAATGAGCCTCAGAGTTCCCTGGAGGTACTCCCGTTCAGATCCCTGGGCCCCACCAGCGAGTCTGAGGTCTGAAGCGGGCAACCGCTTCAGGAGGTCCTGCATTCTGAGTTCCTCGGAAGACAGGGGGAACCAGGGATGGTTCAAAACACTAGGTTTCCCTTAAGGAAGAGTGTCACATTGTAGATAGAGAACTGACCTACAGAGAGAGTTAAAGAGGAGTTCTCAAGATGAAGAAATGTACGTAGCTCCGACTAGTTCTCTCATGGAAATACATACCGTACAATCTCTGATAGGTTTGGGAGAACAGTGGGCAGATCACAGGGTGAGACCTGAATTGGGGAGAGACCTGGTCTCAGGGAGAGAACAGGAAAGACGGTAGTCCTGGTGCTGAGAGCCCAGCCTGGGAGAGTGGCTGGCTCTCTTGGGTGGTGTGTAGAGTCGGTTAATTTTAGCACTAAAGGCATTGTCAAGCCACATCAAGCCTCAGTTCCTTATTTTATTCAACTCTTGCCTTTCCTATGGCAATTTGCACACAATAGATAGATGCTCAGTAAACACAGAATGAATAAATACTAGGCAGTCTTGAAATAGTTGAGCGGGGAACCGAGAAGGAACGCTGGGAGCCGGCGACCCCCTTCCCTCCAGCAGATGTGTGCTGCCGCTCTCCTGGGACCCCTTCACTGCTTCCCGGGATAGAAGCTCATGTTTAGGTTGTGGGAATAGAACTCCGCCTAGCGATTTAAATACCAAGATGGGAATTTGGTACCCTTGTGGGGAGTGATGTGTTGGATGAAGCTTTGTAATGCCTCACAGCACACAGGCTCGATTAGGAATTATCCACACAATCATGCTCTGACTGTGTCCCCGACATCCCAGTCCCTGTCATGACAAGGACACTTCTTTGTTCCAGAAGGCTGCATTCATGCCATGGAGAATGAAATTTCTGTCTCGATGGGATGTTTCTGGTCATGGCCTCTCATTTTCTCTCACTTCACAAATGTGAGCGCCTGTGTCATGGGCCCCTCACTGGGCACTGACTGTTGCCTAAGCTTAGCGTCCGGGGTGACCGCCATACGGGGAAACCGTTCTCATTAGAGGTTTTGTTTCCTCTCGCAGGACACCACGAAACCCCACTGTCAGCATCCACCAAGATGCTGGAGAGATTCCCCAACAACCTGCCCAGACACCGGGAGAACGTGATTCCTGCCGACTCCGAGAAAAAGAGCTTTGAAGAGGTGTGTGGGGAAGGGACAGGTAGTTACTGGCTCCTCTTGGCAGGTTTGTCCTCATCCCTCTGAGGGTTTGCAGGCTGCCCGGGAGGGAGGAGGGTGTACAGTACCAGCAGCAGGCAGTGCTGAGGGTGGACGCGGAGGAAGGCATGCATGAGGGGAGGCTGTGGGAAAGGCCGTATGATGAGAGAGAAGCAGAGAGCACGGGGGGGCGAGTGCAGCAGAGGGAAAGGCCCAGAGGTGCCGCTGACCCTGCACGCCCAGCTCTGGGGCCGAGGAGGCAGGCTGCCAGGAAGGGAGCAGTGGGAAATGGGGTCACATGCCTGCAGAGGAACCATGTTCCAAGCCCCACAGTGAGTGAGAAGCAGATAAGGGAGTAGGTGCGGAGACCTAAGGTTTGGTGAAGCCAGATGTGGCCTACTGTGGCTGCTTGGTCTGGCAGGGGACCTGCAGAATGGGCGTTGGGTGGCAAGGAGGCCTACCTGGTGGCAGCAGCCAGGAGGCGCTGGCCTCCTAAGCCCTGGGGGATAGAGCCTACCATCAGGGTCTCAGCTGGAGGCAGACGCCACCCTGACTAGGATGGTTTGAGGGGAGTTTTGTCGGGAGACCGTTCACATGGTGGGCATTCTGGGGTTCTCTCAGGATACTTGGGCTGAAGCTGGTGAGGAGGGAGTGGAGGGCGCCACAGACCAGGAGCCTGGAGCTGCAGTTGAGACACTCACCATCCCCTCAGGACTCCAACTCTGTCTCATCTGCTGGTGTCCCCATCAGAGACCAGGGGCAGGGAGACCACTGCTCTGCCGTAGGGGCAGACTTCTGGGGCAGAGGGCAGGTGGAGCAGGTTGGAGGGTGGCTCTGCTGGGGGCGGGAGCAGGCCAGTGCGATGGTGGGGAGGGGATCCCAAGGCCGCTGGGCTTGGTGCTCTGACAGCCCTGCCATGAGGGGCCGGCGAATGAGAAGAGGCCCGGGCTGTGGGCGGGGTCAGAGGAGGAGGGGAGTAGCTGGCTGATGTGGGCGCCTCCATCATGACAAAGTCATGTTAGAGGTTTAAGATTTTATCCAGAGACAAAGGAAAAGAAAGTCACGTGGATGGTTAAGATTCCAGGATACACTGAGTTGTCCCTCATCTCCAGAGGTAGCCAGCCAGAGAAATACACTGAGTCCTAAAACAGTGATCTTGAATCACATCAGTGTCCTAAAATCTTGATGTGATTTTGATCTGATTAAAGTCAAGCATATTTTTGTTATTAAACACTTAGAAAATGAAAGTATAAAGAGGAAAATTAAACAATACCCTTAATCTAACACCCCAGAGATGGCTGTAGTTGAAATTTTCCTATTTATTCATTTAATCTTGAAAAGTCCATTAAAAGCCCTTTAAAAGTCCATTCAAATACTCTGAGGTGCAGTTATCTCGTAATGAGACTAACTTTTTAAAACAAACACACTTGCGCAAATATAACCAAACGAATGTTGTCTCTGGTCACATGCTCAGCAGACATTCCTCAGCTGCCCGCTGCTGACCGGCCATGACCCACACCCCCGGACACCTCGGACGCCTCTGGAGGGAGGGCTGGCAGGAGGCGGAGGGCGGGTTGTAGGTTAGTCTCGGGAGTGAGCGGTCGGAGCGGGTCGGGGTGCCAGGGAGGCTGAGTGTCCATTTCATCAGGCAGACAATAATGGCACACCCGGAATAGCAGATGTTCCAGAAGAAACCAGTGCATTTCCTTGAAGTCCCAGAGATTCTGACGAGCTTGGGCCAAGGCTCCACTTTATCTTATTTAATTTGGGGCTTTAACAAAGGGTTTTGATGCTTTTTAAGACCTTTGAAACATGGTGGAATATTTGAATAAATGACTTTGTGTTTGAAGTCACACTGAAAGTTTCCAAGCAACATAAGAAAGCTGCTTTATTACCTTATAGCTTTGTGTGTGTATGTGTGTGTGTGGTTTTCCTTTTTTTAATGTGGAATGGTATTACCAAATTGACTACCAGCCTTCCACTAGACTTGCCACTTATGATTTCAGAGTTTCCCCAAATATCAAATCTACCATCGAAGGAGGTTTTCGCCTTTAGTGAGGATTTTCGAAAGAATGTAGGATTAGAAATCACTTTCAGAAGTACTGCTCTAAACCGTTTTTGAGTGATGCTACCATCACTGCAATAGTACATGGCCTCCCAAAGCAGTTGCTTTGAAAAAGGCTACAATTATCAGGCTTTGTGGTCTTTGGGTGGGCTTCAAAAAAAAAAAATCAAACACGTTACACAGTATAGCATTTCTCATAAATTGCTTCTCTCGATTGTTTGACTCATTTATATCTGGCTAGAAATTTTGCAGTGATGTAGCCACTCTCTCCCACGCAAGGTTATCGACCTGGTTGACCAGACTTCAGAAAACGCCCCTACCACGGTTTCCCAGGATGTGGAAGAGAAGTTCGTTCATGCACCTGCCAAGCCCGAGGCCCCCGTGGACTCCATGCTCAAGGACATGGCCACCATCATCCTGAGCACCTTCCTGCTCATTGGCTGGGTGGCCTTCATCATCACCTACCCCCTGGTAAAGCTCTGCCCCTTCCCTTTGCCCATCTTCAAAAACTTTGTAATTAGAGAGACACCAGCTTCTCAGGAAAGGGCAATTTTATCCCTACATCTTATGGTTTACTCGACTGTAGAAACCAACCTGTAAACTTTACTTGCAGATCATTTTAAATACTTAACTCTATTTTCGTTTTAATGACTAGGCATATGAGGTGAAAATCTGTTCAATTTTCCTCCCTGAAAACCTGCCTGTTAGACAGTTGTAAATACTGCTGCTGCTCATAACAGGGTGTATGTATTGTTCTGAATTAACGTTTTTGTTTTTCTCTGATATGTGCCCAGGAGTGGACTTGCTGGGCCATGTGGTGGTTCTGTTTTTAGGGTTTTTGAGAAACCTCCATTCTGTTTTCCATGGTGGCTGCACTAATTTGCATTCCCACCAGTAGTGCACAAGGGTTCCCGTTTCTCCACATCCTTGCCAGTGTTTGTTGTTTGTGTTCTTTTTGATGATGGCCATTCTGACAGGTGTGACCTGGCGTCTCATTGTGATTCTGATTTGCATTTCTCCAGTACTGGTGATGTTGAGCAGCTTTCTGTGTTCCTGTTGGCCGTCTGCATTTCCCCTTTTGGAAAAATGTTCAGTTCTTCTGACCATATTTTAAATGGGTTGTTTGTTTGCTTTTTAATTGAAGTACAGTTGACAAAAAAAAAAAACTGAGGAGAAGGGTATAGCTCAAGTGGTAGAGCACATACTTAGCGTGAATGAGATCCTAGTTTCAATCTTAACTACAGTACCTCCTCTAAAAATAAATAAATAAACCTAACCCCCCCTCACCCAAAAAAACCCCCTGCCTGTTAGAGATATCAGATAGAGTGAAAAAGGTAGCGTGGTTATTTCTTTGGCTTTCTAGTTGGAAAGAAGTGGCTAAAATTACACAGTTGAGTAGATCGTGGGTCGGACAGAATATTACGAAGGAATAGTCCTTCATCCAGTTGCTCGGAGCATCGAGACGTTACCGCGCAGAACACAGGTGCTCCAAAGGCTCCTGTCCCGGTGGAGGATGGGAACGCCAGGCCCTTTATGGCATTTTCCATCTGCTGAAATGTGTCCACTTGCATGTTTTATTTTCTGCCTCACACAGTTCTTCATTATTTTCTATCCCCTACCCACAAATAAGGAAACGAGACTCCAGGAAGCTGAATAACTTTCCCAAGGTAATTCAGCTAGTAGAATTTCCAGGATTTCAACCCAAGGTGGAAGAGAGTGAAGGAGAGACAGATCTCTAGAAAACTCCCAGGGCGTTGCTGACTACATACCCGTCACTTCAGTCACCTTCCCACACATGGGTAGTAATTAATAATCACAGGTTGCTGCCCCTTGAAACTAGGATGGAATGGATTGTTCAGAATAAATGAGAGAACTGTGGGGAAGGCAGTGTGACAAAACGGGGGGAGCGGGACCTCGGCCAGGCTCCCTGTGTTTCAGCTCCGCTCAGCCACATCCCAGCTGTGGGGCTGTGGGCGGATGGCCAGGAAGTCCTGAGCTCCAGCCGCCGCCTCCGCGTCTCTGCATTGCTGACGGCCTGTGCACTTACCTCCATCACGTGCACAGTCAGAGTAGACAGCAAGCTCGGGTCTTCCCTTTGTCCACCGCGCTCTCAGGCGCCTGAGAACCTTTCTTCCAGGCTGGTTTCACTTTTGCAGTAATTCCCAGGCTTTTCATAAAAGTCCCAGAATTTTAGAATTGATTGGAACCCCCTCCATCTGGTTCAGCTCTCCGCCTACAGTAGAATCCCTCCTCTGCTGGCCCTGCCAGGCCCCTCCAGGCGGGGGAATGGGCTGTACTGGGAGGTCTGACTGAACCCTTTGTGCCCCCTCTGCCTTCTCACCAGTCGCGTTCTGCCCTGTGGGGTCACATCAGGTGTCCCTGCTTCTGCTGCCGCAGGGGGCCTCTCCTTTCCCGCCTGCTGGTCCCGCCAGGGGAGTGGCTGCACTAGTCTAGTTGTGTGTTTCCCTTCCCAGAGCATGCATCAGCAGCGGCAGCTCCAGCACCAGCAGCTCCAGAAGGAACTGGAGAAAATCCAGCTCCTGCAGCAGCAGCAGCTGCCCTTCCACCCACCTGGAGACGCGGCTCCGGACATCGAGCTCCTGGACTTATCCGGCCAGTACTCTGAGAGCTCGGGCACCAGCAGCCCCAGCACATCCCCCCGAGCCTCCAACCACTCGCTCCACTCCAGCGGCTCTACCTCCAAGGCTGGTACCGGCCCCTTCCTGGAGCAGGACGACGAGGGTAACATGAGCTGCCATTCTGGTGCTGTTTCCTCTTTTGTTGTATCACCACCTGAGCGCCATAACCCTCCTGCCCTCCTAGGAATCTCCATGTCCCACGGGTTCCCCAAGTTCCTTCCTACATCCCTCCCACTCTGGGGCTGGGCTTCTGCCCCATCCCATGGCCTCTCCCCCTCAGTGGGCCTTCTGGGAGCCACCTTGGCCCTCCCTCCATCTTGCTTCACACGGGCTGAGAATCTCTGCAGACCAGAGGTGCACTGGCCTTCTGGCTTGAGAGCATCCCCGAGGCCGGCCAGCGGTCAAGTGTAACAGTGCAGCTGCTGATCCATTCTCCTCCAGGAGGTTGGCTCAGGCCAGCTGTCAGGGCCGATATTCTGAAGGGACTGACGCAGACCTAGTGCAGGAGACCTCGGGTCCTCAGGCTCAGGCTGGAGACCCTGCTACTGGTCTCTCCATTTCACACATCCACCGTCGCTACCTGAACGTTTCAGGTGCAAACCTTTATGTGGACCTGTAGAGAGCCCCTGTCTTCCGACTTCCATTCTCACAGTAATTAATGTGAAGGCAGGACCAGAGGGCAGGGGCAGGGGGAGGAGGTGGCCCCGGTGTGAATGTACCAGGGCCCTGGGGCGTGAAGCCTCTGAAGTCCTATCCCTTAACCTGAGCTCAGGAAGCTAGTAGCCATTCTAACCTCAAGGTTGTTAAGGTTATGTTTGTTTAAAACAATCGCTTTTTCCTGTCTTGTCCCAGATGAGGAAACCAGCATGGTGATGGTTGGGAAAATCTCTTTCTGTCCGAAGGATGTCCTGGGCCACGGAGCTGAGGGCACAATTGTGTACCGGTGAGTGAATCAGAGAGCTCTGTGCCTTCACCACCTCACAGTTGAGCTCCCAGCGGCCCCAGGGGCACAGCAAGGTCCTAGCGATGAGCAGACAGGAGAGTTCCTCCGGGAAGAGAAGTGATGGCCACAGGGCCATGGGTCCAGGGGTCTCCTTGTGTTTCCACAGCCTATGTGCATCTCCAGACCCATCCTCCGCTCCTTGTCCCACAGGGGCATGTTTGACAACCGCGACGTGGCAGTCAAGAGGATCCTCCCCGAGTGTTTCAGTTTTGCAGATCGTGAGGTCCAGCTGCTGCGAGAATCTGACGAGCACCCGAACGTGATCCGTTACTTCTGCACCGAGCGGGACCGGCAGTTCCAGTACATCGCCATTGAGCTGTGTGCCGCCACCCTGCAGGAGGTGGGTGCCCCCAGGTCACTACCACCGCAGCCTCCCTTCTGGCAACTGGGGCCTGGTTTTAGGGACTGCTGGGTGATTTCTTTCTCTCTGTCTCCTTTTATTAACTTTATTGAAATTATAATACAGTGTACTCATTTTAAATATCCGATTTGATGCATTTGACAAGGGTATGTACCTGTTTAACCACAAACAGTGGAAATGTCGAGAATTTTCATCACCCC